CACTCTCCAACATTTTCCCCAACTGCTTCCTAAACTCTTCAAGCTCAGGTTGAGACATACGGTATGGTGCCCTGGCAGGAGCTTTAGCGCCTGGAATAAGTTCGATCTCATGATCAATCGTCCTTCTTGGTGGTAATTTCTTTGGTAATTCTTCCGGCATGATGTCCTCAAATTCCCGAATAAGCCTTTTAACGGGTTTTGGAATAGGACCATTCGCCTCTTCGACCTCCTCTAATCGAAGAGTACACAAAAAGGTGGGTTCATTTCTCTTGAAACCTTTACTAAATTGCATGGCTGAGATACTCTTCTCGCCCATCCTCCCAACCTATGTAGGGATGACACACGGCTTATTACCCATCATCATTAACGAATCGGAATATGGCAACACTGTTGTCTTAGTATCCCGAAGAAATTCCAATCCTAGAATAAGCTTGAAATCATCCATCTGAACTGCAGATAAATTTGTCCTTCCCTCGAAAGGACCTGCTTTGATCAACACCGATTTTGCCACTCCAGCTATTGGTTGGGCAGCGGAGTTGATTGCTTTGACTTTTCCACTACCCTTGTCTAGAACCAGTCCGAGCAGCTCTACTTCGGTACATGCAAGGTAGTTGTGGGTAGCACCAGTATCCACCATAGCCCTGATTGGCTTCCCATTGATTTTTACATCAATGAACATTAAGCCTTTGGCCCTACAAATACGAGCCTTCGCTTCTTCCATCTTTGCCTCTTTCAATGAGACATCATCCTTTTCAGCAACTCGATGCGATAGTGTGTTGCACCGATGTGAAAATGCCCCAACTACTTCCTCATCCTCTTCGGAGTCAGTCTCATTATGACAATTAGCTTGCGGGACCTCTTGTTTTGAACTTGGCCCGCCATTTGCTAACTGACAATATGCATTCATCATCCGCTTCTAAGGACACTCCGACACCCGATGATGTCCTTCACATAAAAAGCACTTCAATTTGAGAGTGGCATCAGTTTGGCCCTCCGTTGCTTTCCCTTTGTTCCAGTTGTTACTATTGCTGCCGTTAAAATTTCCCTGACGGCTGTTATGATAACTTCCCTGAAAGCCACGGGTGCTTTGATATGCTCCTTCTCTATTTTGAAAGTAGCGCTCTCCCCCATTTGGGTTCGAGCTGGGTCTGTAAGATCTATTACCACCTCCAATTGCTTGATTACTCCCCGAAGGTCGATCTTTTCTAGATTCTGTTTGGTAGTCGCTCAAGCATTCAGTGGCTCCCATGGCCGTGCTTAAATCAGTAACCTTCTGTCTTTGAAGTTCCGTACATGTCCACGATTTCAGCCCTTCCATAAAGGTGAAGAGCTTGTCCTTTTCTGACATATCTCGAATATTCAGCATATGCCCTGAGAAGGATTTCACATACTCCCTGATAGAGCTCGTGTGTTTCAGGTCTCGAAGAGCCCGTCGAGCCTGATACTCGACATTTTTCGGGAAAAACTGTGATCTGATCGCTTCCTTGAGGAGATCCCAAGAATCAATTCGAATCCTGTGAGCCTGAATGTCCGCATATTTGGTTCGCCACCATAGTTTTGCATCTCCACCGAGATACATGGTAGCTGTAGTTACCTTTCTAGCTTCATCTTCGATCGAAGCTGCTAGAAAGTACTGTTCCATATCAAACAAGAAGTTTTCAACTTCTTTTGCATCACGTGCCCCTCCGTAGGTACACGGTTCAGGAATCCTGAGTCTAGGAGCATACTCCTGTGCGGGAGCTTGCCCATTGCCCACCGCACGTTGGAGTACTCGCAATTGAGCGCTCAACGCTTCCATTTCATCCTGCAGATCAGGAATGATTGCAGCAGCTTCCGTCATTGTTGCGCAAGTTCTTTGGCTTTCATCTAATTGGATGTGTAATCTACGAATCTCAGATTCGGCCATCTCGACTTTTTCCTCGAGACCTTCCATCGCATAGCACAACCTAGTAGTTGTCTCATCAAGCGCATCCACGCGCTATTTCGTAGTACCCTTCTTTTGAGGCTCTACCACTTAAGTGGTGTGTGATGTAATTGGATCCATAGTTTTCTTATCGAGGGTCGTGAGCCGTAGCTCTGATACCAACTTTCACGGGGTGCCTTTCTTCTTGGCACAGAAAGGGACACCGTGCGGCAGTAGTCTGCTCCGCTAGACTACCTTCCGCCTTTTCTCGATCGCGTCGGGACGAAAGAAAATTTGATTGCAATTTTGTAGAAAGCTTATAATTGAGAATTTGAATACATTGAAAGTAAATTGAACATTGATTGATGAAAACTGAACATTACAATTGATGAAAGCAGAAAATTACAAATGCTGGTGCAGGGGGCTGACACCAGTGAGTTTGAAAGATTTTTGAATGACTAATACTCCCTATAATAGCATTCTGAACAAAAATCCAAGTGACGGGAGTAGACGTTTAAAAGACGAGGAATCATACTAATCTTTTACCAATATCAGAGCTATTTTACAATTAAAATAACTATTACAATGAAAAGAAAATTACAACTCAAACTTGAAGTAATATTTACAATGTGCGGCCGAAGTTGGGTAAACTGCGGCTGCGATAGTGTCAAGGGGCTAAGTAAAGCTGCGGTCCTTGACACCGAGGCTCGAGAGAACAGAGCCGAGATTCGGGTCTAGCCCCATTCTGGGGTGTCGGGCAAAGCTCGAGCGGCCTGTGTGGCTCGTCGGCTTGGGTTTACAAGCATTAAAAAAATAATACAAAAATAAAAAATAATTTTTTTAAAGGTAATAGCACATTGCTTTTTAAGGCAGCGTGCTGTTGCCCAAACATGACAACAATAAAAAAAACAAAAAACACCAAAACCGAGCCTGTCTGGCTCAGCCCGAGCCAAAAGTTAGGGTCAAGCCTTTTTTTTTGGTCGAGCTTTTACTCTGCCGCGCTCGAGCTCGATCATTTATTCGAGCCGAGCCCGAGCCACAAATTTCAACTCGCAAGCCGGCTCGGCTCGAATCGTTGACATCCCTATACTCAGGCCATTTTTTGGCTAGTGATGAGCCAACCCTTTTAATAAAAGTAAAGGTTCTTGATCTATTAAATTCGTGCAAACAATTATTCAACTTACATTTTTTGACATTTAAATCCTCAACATTTTATATTTATAAAGTCATAGTCCCCAATAAATGGTTTTTGTCCATGTTGATTATGCCCTTATTTTCAATTAGAAAAAAGTACCTTTATAATGGAACTTATTAAAATCAAATGTGGAGCAGTTCTTTTTCCATTTTTTAAATTTATTTATTATTATTATTTTTTAACTCATAAAAAATCAAGCATAAAAGTCCTGCGCCTTTTCAAGTAATTTTTCCTTAAAAGAAAAAATAGTGCAAGTGGCCGGCCCTTTGATGCCTATTGAACTAGGTTTTTGTTTGTTTACCATTATTAAAGAATTCCTTTTTTCTCAATATTTTTAACCACACATTTTAAAATAATATATTTTACATATAAAGCCCCTGTTTGACCCTCATTCATTTCAAATTTTAATGGTTAGAATAGTATTTTTTTTCAAAAAATGCGTTGTTGAAAAAAAAATGAAAAGTTTTTTATTTGCGTGTAATATTATTTTATAGAAGATTGTGTGATTAAAAATAAGAGAAAGAAAAAAATGAAAAAGAAAATGGGAGCAAAAGCACATTTTTTCTACTTTTCAACTATACATTCTCCAAAAATGCACTAATCCGAAACCCATTTTCATTAATGGTAGAGAAACAGGTATATTCCACGAGAATTTTGAGACTCTACATGATTAGTTATAATAAGGCTCTTAAATACAATTTTCTACAAGCGTAGCAACACTGATTTTTACACCCTATCTCATTGTTCAAAAGAAATTCGTGAAACAAAGAGTTGTTGAAATTGTGTTCAATCTAAGGATATTGTTTTTTCACATCTTTCCAAGATGATTTGATCTCTTTAAAGGATTAAATGAGTTCAAATTTATAAAATTTAGTTTGTTTACTGAAAATAAATAAATACACAAATTTCACAACATACACGTTAAAAGTGCTTATGATTTTATAATTGGTCAATGAACGAGCTGCTTTGTGATCAAATATGAGGTTGAATGAGCAACCTTTAGGGTGTGGGCTGTGACTGTATTTGATAACAAATTGAAAAAAATAAAATCAGATTAAAATTTACAGCATTTTTATAGGAGAAAATTACGATTCTCATCTTAACAAATTCAAAAGGTTTGAAGATCTGAAAATTCAAGATTGATTGAGAAACCCTAGAAGCTCAGATTTTGAAGAAGAAATGAATATTCAATGTCTAGTGCTTGTAAATAAATTATGAAAAATTTAAATGCAAAAAATAATTAGGTAAGCAAATGATATTATAAATAATACCATATCCGTCCTATTTATATATACTGATTTTTCTTATTTTCTTGTCCCATTTTGTATAGGTTGACTTTTTTTTTAATTCCATTTATATATTCCTTTTTTTTATTGGGGAAATAATTATTTTGTTCATTTATTAATATACCTTTATTTAATTTACCTAATTATAATTAATTCCTGCCACTCAATCTTCAAATTGTACAGATTTTAATTTACGATCTTGAAATTATTAAAATACATACACTCATGTTCTCACTCTTCTTGAAAGCATGGACAAAAACACATTTTTTTCACTTTATTTATTACTTGTTGTTGATAATTAAATAATGATAAACTTAAGAAAAAAATTTGCAAAAATTATTTTTTCAATATTATTAAATACATTTTCTTAATTTGTGAAAAACAAAATTATTTTATCCAAATGAGGCCAAGAGATTGAGAGTATGAGGGTGTTTGGTAGGAATTTTTATGTGAAAATATATTTTTGAATAGTAAATTGATGGAAATGTGTGGTTGAAAAATAAGAAATTTTTTTTGATTTACGTGTAATATTATTTTAATAAAAAATGTGTGATTGAAAAGAAGAGAGAGAAAAATACATTTTGATAAAAATGAGTGCCAAACATGCCTATGTCTTTTTCTTTTAGCCCGACATGCTCTAGATCATTCCCTTGGTGGCCGGCTGTGACAAACAAAATGGTTAAAAGGAGATGAAACCCTATAGTGTGAAGGAAACATAAAGCTCACGCCTCATCCATCTGTCTTCAACGCCACCATCGGCTTCAATTCCATTAGATCAGGTATGAAATGCTCAGCTATTGAAGCAGTATATGGGTAGATTTTTCCCATCTGGGCATGAATTAAAATTATTTCTCATCTTCTTTATGTGTATTAGAAAGGTGTAACTTTTTTAGATTTATACATATAAGCTTTAATTTTTCAAGATAAGTTTGTTCGATCCGCGTATTAGAGATCTGTATGAATTTATTGGGATTTCTTTTCCTTGCTCATCTGTTCCTAACCTTATCATCGAGTCAGCTGTTATCTCTTTTTTGGCTATCATTGCATAGAGCTTGAAGCAATGATTAATTTGGAGAAACTGCTAAATTTTTATGCTTAGATTTTATTTTTATTTTGAATATCTTTTTAGATTTTATGATTGTGGGAAAACAGAACTGGATCGAAATGGTTTGTTTTGGTTCCGCCGCCCTTATAATTTAGGAAAATAAATAAATAAATTCTGGGTAAAATACCTATGTTTTGTCCAGTGATAAAGGAAATTGGACTGAACTGTATTTTGTCCACCCATAATAGAGTATCACTGCTAATTTTACTTTTAAGTAGTTTATTAATTATCAGTTGGTGTTTTAATCTTAGTTAAACGAAAACCCAATTTGTTATTTGGACAGGATGGACATCTGATCACAATGTAATGTGTTGAATTCACTAATCTCAAAAGGCTACATCTCAAACAACATGGTTTTCCTACCATAGAGAAATCAGATCAAGATCTAGTTTCAGTCCATTTTGCCTGGTGGAAGAAAATGGCCCAATTCTTCATCATTTTCAATAAGCTTGTCAATTTGTTAATTGTGGAGGGTAAATTTTGTTTCAGTACGAATGATCGGGTGCTTTATGATGACATTGCTCAAAGCGAGGTAAGTGGAAGAATATGTGATCTTGGTATGGGTGGTATAGGAAAAAATTACTCCTTTTTCGTGCTCTATTTCTAAGGTATGCCTCTTATAAGTTAAAATGTTTTCATGAGTGTACCTCTTTTCTCTTTTTTTCCCCATATTTTTTAGATTCTTTAGCATGGTAACAGTCATCAGAACCAATTTATGCTTCTGAATCATAGAATTCATCAACCATTTCAGTTTCTCCTTCATCAGGTTCTAAGGAAATAGTGGAAGATGGTCGGGTCCAAAATGGCCATTGACCATTTATTTTTAAAAAAGGAAAAATTATTAAAACTATAAAAAATATTGAAAAGCCATTTATACCTTCACATCATTTTGAAAAGATAGAAGATTGGAATACATTGTTCACAAAATGTCGACCAACACCGTCGAGAAACCCCTGATCCAGATCGGAGATTGTCATTTGCTTGAAGTAATCGAGTTTTGAAACTTTTGGTACCATTGATTGAGTAAATAAAGCATGTTGCATGTTCATTTGTTGAATAATCTTTGTAGAAATTGTTGTAGATAATAAATTGTGCATGAAATTGAGGATTTTGGTACACTTGAGGGGCGAAGATAGTTGGGAATGACGATCTTTGCTATATGTAGCTCACACATTTTTATCTAGTCAAAGTCAATAGTGGAATTTTCAAAGTTAAGTCAAATGAGGACTTGTATGAAATAAATCGTTTTTATTGGGACTTGATTGACCAAATCATTTTATTTGGGTTTATCTTATAAATTATAAATATTTTGAAGGTTAAGTTGGACAAAATAAAAAAAAAATTTGGGATTTATTTATATATTTTTGGAAGTTGAGGATTTACTTGTATGTTGTAATTAGATTTAAGGGACTTTCTTTGCAAATTGAACATGTGGGACTTTAAAATTCAACTTTTGACCATTCTTTTTCTCCCAAAATCCACCCCTACACAGTAACGCGAGAGAAGCAGAGACTGTGAGAGAAGAAAGAAAAAAGAAAAGAAGAAAGGAAAAAGAAGAAGAAAAATGATGGTAAAAAAAAGGGAAGAAGAAAAGGGGTAAGGTTAATCTCTTCAAGTTGGGATGTAATTTATCCATTGTTCTAAGTGATAAAGGTGTGATTTATGTTAAATTTTTAGGGTTTTAACTTGTAGTAATAAAATGTCAAATTTAGGTAATATATGTACGATTTGGAGCTCAAGCTTGGGGATTAATTAAGTTTCAGTTTCAGCAAGGTAGGTAGTAAAATTTTTGGGGAAACCCTAGAATTCGATTTCGGATTTTTGATTAATTAATTGTGGAAATGAGTATAGAAATGGAATATTTCACTTGGGAGTTGATTTTATGAAACAAAATGTATATTAAATGGGTGGAATTATGGTTACTAGTTTCACTATATTGGACAGTAAAATTAGTTTTAAACTTGGGAAGAAGATTTTGTTGATGAATTAGTTATTAGAAAAGGGATTAGAAAGTGGGATTATCTCCAATTGATCAAAAGAATATTTGGGAAATTCATTTGAGCATCGACCAATTTTAGTTAAGTATATTATAGAAGTAGATATTAAAGTTTTTTAATTTAATAGTGGTTGATTAGTCATCTTGTTATGTATTCCATATGGTGACGAGGAGATTGAAAGAGCCTATCGACCATCTTAGGTTCAGCTTGTATTATGTGAGTGAATAAACTTATTTTTAAGAAATTAGTATTTATTTAATTTATATTAACTTAGAAAATTTATTAATTCATATAGTCGATTTGACAACACGGTTTTCAAAATAAAGTTGGTTTATAACCAATTGTTTTTAAAAGTTAAATTCAATTTAGTAAATTATTTTATTAGCATGTTATAGGAGTATTAAATGTTTCAACATATTTAAAGTTATTTTATAAAATCCACTAGAAAGTATTCAGGTGATTTTACCCTCGTCTGCACGGGTGTTAATGTGTTTTCACAGTGTATGACTTCATATGGTTATTTTACCCACTCTGCATTGGTGTGAATGTGTTTCCACATCGTATGATCAATATAGTGATTTTACCCGCTTTGTACTATTTTTGAATTTGTTTCCATAGTGGATGATCATTTTATAGCTCTACGCGCATACGACCAGAATTATAGAATTTCAGAATTACAGGATTATAGAATTTCAGAATTGAATAACCTTGCTATGTATATCGAGATTAATCGATACACGAGTATGGTTATTCCGGGTACATTTTTGTTGTGATATTTCAGTATTACATATCTTATTAGATTTTAGAAATACAGTATACAGAATAAAGATGTTTATGATTACAGTATATTTTAGTTTTGATAGTATTATCAGATTTTAAGTTATAGAATTCAGTTTAAAGAATAAATATTTTAATTTATGTCTGTGAAAAGAAATTTTATGTTATATGTCGATTTTCAGAAAAATTTTATGAATGGAAAAGTATACTTTTACAAATATCCACTTACTGAGCCGCAAGCTCATATTTTTGCCACCTCATTTCTTATCAGATAGAAGCTGCGTTGAGCCATATCGGAGCCTGTCGATCTTCAAGTTGAACTACATCGTGTCATTGTTTGTATGTCTCATCTTGTTAATTCATACAACACATTTTCTAGGATTGATGTATTTTGTTCAAAAAATGTATTAAGTCATAGACTCATTGCATATTTTGTGTAGTTTTAAAATGAAGTTGTTTAGTGGTAAAGAAGGGTAAATTTCTTTTTCAGTACAACTATTTTGAAGAATTGGTATTTTGAGGAGTCGGTGTACCCTGTTTTAAATTATATGTACATGTTTAGGATATTTGATTTTATTTTCAAGTGATTTTAGTCCATTTTTCGGAGGGCACTTTGTTGAAATTTTTATAAAATTATAGCAGTCAAAGTATGTCAAGCTTGCCTTGGTGGTGGGTCCGGCATTTCGCTGGTATCTATTATCGAGCACAACATGTGTCGGATCCATTAGGGTGATTTGGGACGTGTTAATTGGCATCAGAGTATTGTTATAAAGTCAGTTTGCATGGTTTATTTGATTTTTGTTCTCATCATATCATATATATTTTGTAGTTGGAAGTCATGGCTCGTGGTAATAAGATACGCAGGGTTCAAGATATGTTGTCTCAACCACCAGCTGCTCTTGATAGGGATGCAAGTAGGGTTGAGGAATCAGTCCATCCGACCCATGATCAGCAGAGATATAGGGATGTAGCCCAGCCTGACTTAATAGCTGATAGGATTGCCACCGATGTTGCTTCTGCTCTACGCAATACAGATAAAGATTGTAGTATGGAGCGGGCTACTAAATTAGGAGCTGAAGTATTTACAGGCGCAGTTGATCTAGTAGAAGCAGAATCATTGATGACAGCTGATCCAGTAGAAGCAGAATCATGGATGGTGAGGATTGAAAGAATATTTGATGTGATGGATTGTCTTGATGATTGAAAATTACAACTAGCTACTTTCTTGTTAGAAGGATGTGCTTATGATTAGTGGAGGTCCGTATAGAGTAAATATGTTGATCCTTCTGTGATCACGCGGGACGAGTTTAAAGATGATTTTAATGAGCATTTCTACCCTCGTTCTTACAAAATTGACAAACAGAATGAATTTTTGAGAATAGTACAGACATCAACAGTGGCGGAGTATCAGAAGAAATTTCTAAAATTATCAAAGTATGTTGTTGCTCTTGTAGCTGATGAAGTTGATAAATGTAGAAGATTTGACTATGGCCTGAGAGAAGAAATTAGATCAGTGGTGATTGCGTTTGGGTTTGAAAATTTGGGTAAACTTGTAGAAGCAGCATTAAGGGTTGAGAAAAGTTTGTCTGAACGATATGGTGGTCAACAACAAAAGAGACCGAAAATTGGAAGCAGTAGTTAGACATGGGCAGGAAGATCTATGACTAGGCCACCGAGGAGGGATCGTAGTGGAGGTAGATTAGGTGTTTCCACTTCTGGCAGTTTGAAGTCCAGATCTCATGGCAGTTAAGGCTTTGAGGTCGAGTCAGGGATCAGTACATCAGCCAGGGAGTAACTGTACTTAGACTCAGAGATCTTCTCAGAGATCATACACTCCTGGATAGAGTGATAGCTCTGGTGTGGCCAGATTTCCCCAATACCAGTTGTGCAGGAAATTTCACCCTGGTGAGTGTCTTAAGGGAATTGGAGTGTGTTATCATTGTGGTCAGACGAGACACATGAGGAGAGAGTGTCCAGTTCGTTTCCAGCAGGGTGGCATATCACGGGTTTTTTTGCAATCGGGTGCTGGCATTTCTAGATAGAATCAGAATCAGAATACTTTGGTAGGCAAAATAGGTGCTACTCAGTCTGATGCTGCTGGCAGCAGTGGTACTAGACAGAAAGGCCAGGATGGACGATCCAGAACTCAGGGAAGAGTGTTTGTAGTGACTCAGCATGATGCCGACGAGTCACTAGATGTGGTTATGGGTACGTTAACTATTTTTGGCAAAAAGGCCCATTCTTTAATAGATTTAGGTGATACACATTCATTTATATCTTATGCATCTGTGATTTATGCGGACCATATGTCAGAATCATTAAATAGTGATTTGGTGGTAGCAACTCCTGTAGGAGATTCACTTTTAACTAACAGTGTGTACAAAGATTGCGTAATTAGAGTAAATGATCATGAGTTGAAAGCTAATTTGATTCTACTTGATATTCATGATTTTGACGTGGTATTGGACATGGATTTTTTGTCTGTAAATCATGCATTAGTTGATTGTTTTCGTAAAGAAGTGGTGTTTTGAAGGTCAGGATAGCCTGAAATTGTTTTTCCTGAAGATCTTCCAGGGTTATATCCTGATAGGGAAATCAAGTTTACTATTTATTTTATTTCAGGGACTACCCCTATTTCACAATCACCTTACAGAATGGTTCCATCAGAGCTGAAGGAATTGAAAGTTCAATTGCAGGATTTAGTTGACAAGGGTTTCATTAGACTCAGTGTATCTCCATGGGGAGCTCGTCTTATTTGTGAATAAGAAAGATGGCACAATGAGATTGTGTATTGACTATAGACAGTTGAATAAAGTGACAGTCCGCAACAAGTATCTGTTGCTTCGTATTGATGATTTGTTTGACCAACTTAGAGGTGCCTCAGTATTTTCAAAGATTTATTTACGTTCAGGGTATCATCAGTTCAGAATTAGGGATATTGATGTACCAAAAACTGCTTTTAGGTCACGGTATGGCCATTATGAGTTTTTGGTGATGCCATTTGGGTTGACTAATGCCCCTGCAGCGTTTATGGACTTGATAAATAGAGCGCTTTGCCCATATTTAGACAAATTTGTGATTATTTTTATTGATGATATCTTAGTTTATTCTCGCAGTAGAGATGAGTATCTCGCAGTAGAGATGAGTATGTTGAGCATTTAAGGATTATTTTACAGACTTTGCGAGATAAATAGTTGTATGCTAAGCTCAACAGATGTGAATTTTGGCTGGATGAAGTTGTATTTTTGGGTAATATTATCTCAGCTGAAGGTATTTATGTAGATTCTTAGAAAATTGAAGTAGTAACGAAATGGGAACGCCCTACTAATGTTATAGAAGTATGGAGTTTTCTTAGGTTAATAGGTTATTATCGTCGATTTGGAGAGGAATTTTTCAAAATTGCTCTTCCTTTGACTAGTTTGACTCGAAAGAACTCCAAATTTGCGTGGACTGATGAATGTGAAAAGTGTTTTCAAGAGTTAAAGAAAATATTAGTTTCTGCTCCAGTACTTACTCTTCCATCTTCAGGTAAAGAGTTTGTGATTTATAGTGATGCTTCACGCCAAGGATTGAATTGTGTTCTAATGCAGAATGAGAAAGTTGTAGCTTATGCTTCTAGACAATTAAAGAAGCATGAGTTAAATTACCCAACTCATGATTTAGAGTTAGCTGCAGTAGTGTTGGCATTGAAGATTTGGAGACATTATCATTATGGTGAGAAATGTCAAATATTTACTGATCACAAAAGTTTAAAGTATATATTTGATCAGAAAGAACTGAATCTAAGGCAAAGGAGATGGCTGAAGTTGATAAAAAATTATGATTGTAAGATTGACTACCATCCATGAAAAGCAAATGTAGTTGCAGATGCTATCAATAGAAAGACAAGTTCATCCTCTCCATCTAGTGCAGTTTATGCTTCTTTGATTTGTGAGTTCAAGAAGTTACACACTGAGCTGACAACTACTACTACAGGGATGGTATTAGCTCATTTTCAGGTGAGGCCTACTTTGATTGATAAGGTTAGAGAAGCTCAATCTCAAGACCAGACATTGAGAATATGGAAAGCAGAAGTTAGTATTGGGTTAAGAACCGATTATGTGATTAGAGATGATGGGGGCATTGGCTATGGTAATAGATTATGTGTTCCAAATATTTCAGAATTGAAGAAAGAGATTTTGGAAGAAGCAAACAGTTTTGCTTATGCTATGCATCCAGGCAGTATTAAAATGTATCATACATTGAAAGATTATTATTGGTGGGTTGGTATGGAGAGAGAGATCAGATTTTGTATCCACATGTCTTATATGTCAGCAGGTAAAGCCAGTTCGTTAGAAAACAGCAGGACTTTTACAGCCATTGCCTATCCCAAAATGGAAATGGGAACACATTATTATGGATTTTTTATTTGGCCTTTCTCGTACTCAGAATGGTCATGATGGAGTTTGGGTTATCGTAGATCGTTTGATCAAGATGGCCAAATTTTTGCCAATCAAAGCTACTTATACTTTAAATAAGTTGGCAAAGTTGTACATGGATGAAATAGTGAGCTCTTACGGTACTCCATTATCTATTGTGTCAGATAGAGACCCTCGTTTTACATCTAAATTTTGGCCCAGTTTGCAGGAAGTCATGGGTACTAAACTACATTTCGGTATAGCTTTTCATCCTCAGACAGATGGCCAGTCAGAGAGGACCATACAGTTTCTTGAGGATATGTTGAGGGCTTGTGTTTTAAAGCTCAAGGGTAGCTGTGATATTCATTTGTCATTGATGAATAGCTATCACTCTAGTATATAAATGACTCCTTTTGAAGCCTTACATGGTCGGAAGTGCATGACACTAGTTTGTTGGGATGAAGCTAGTAAGAGGAAGTTAGAAGGCTCGGAATTGGTTCAAATGACATCCGAAAATGTGAAATTGATCAAAGAAAAGTAATGCAGCTCAAGAGAGATAGAAAAGGTATGCTGATAGGCACAGGAACGATCTTGAATTTGTAGTTGGAGATAAAGTATTTCTTAAATTGTCACCTTGGAAAGGGGTGTTGAGATTTGGCAAGCGAGGAAAGTTGAGTCCACGATACATTGGACCCTATGAGATTACTGAGCGAATTGGCCCAGTTGCATACCGATTAGATCTGCTCGATGAATTATCTCGGATCCATGATGTTTTTAATGTTTCCATGCTTCACAAGTACATTGCTGATCATTCTCGTGTTCTGGAGTCTCAACCAATCCAGTTGAAAGAAAATTTAACATATATAGAAGAGCCCGTGAGAATTTTAGACAAAAAGGTGCAAATTCAGTGAAATCAGACAGTTTCACTTGTTAAGGTACTTTGGCAGAATCAGATGGTAGAAGAGGCTACGTGAGAGAATGAGGATCAGATGCGTGCTCAATATCCTCACTTATTCATTACTCAGTCAGTTGCCAGTTGAATTTCGAGGACGAAATTCTTTTAAGGAGGTAAGATCGTTACAACCCACAATTTTATCTAGCCAAAGTCAATAGTGGAATTTTCAAAGTCAAGTCAAATGAGGACTTTTATGAAATAAATCATTTTTATTAGGAATTGATTGACCAAATCATTTTATTTGGATTTATCTTATAAATTATAAATATTTTGAAGGTTAAGCTGGACAAAATAAAAAAATATTTGGGATTTATTTATATATTTTTGGAAGTTGAGGATTTACTTATATGTTGTAATTAGATTTAAGGGACTTTCTTTGCAAATTGAACATGTGGGACTTTAAAATTCAACTTTTGACCATTCTTTTTCTCCCAAAACCCACCCCTACACACAGAGTAACGTGAGACAAGCAGAGACCGTGAGAGAAGAAAGAAAAAAGAAAAGAATAAAGGAAAAAGAAGAAGAAAAAGGATGGGAGAAAAAAAAAAGAAAGGGAAGAAGAAAAGAGGTAAGGTTAATTTCTTCAAGTTAGAATGTAATTTATCCATTGTTCCAAGTGATAAAGGTGTGATTTATGTTAAATTTTTAGGGTTTTAACTTGTAGTAATAAAATGTCAAATTTAGGTGATATATGTACGATTTGGAGCTCAAGCTTGGAATTAATAAAGTTTCAGTTTCAGCAAGGTAGTAGTAGTAAAATTTTTGGGAAAACCCTAGAATTCGATTTCGAATTTTTGATTAATTAATTGTGAAAATGATTATATAAATGGAATATTTCATTTGGGAGTTGATTTTATGAAACAAAATGTATATTAAATGGGTGAAATTATGTTTACTAGTTTCACTAGATTGGAGAGTAAAATTAGTTTTAAACTTGGGAAGAAGGTTTTGTTGATGAATTAGTTATTAGAAAAGGGATTAGAAAATGAGATTAGCTCCAATTGATCAAAAGAATATTTGGAAAATTAATTCGAGCATCGACCAATTTTAGTTAAGTATTATAGAAGTAGATCTTAATGTTTCTTAATTTAATAGTGGTTGATCATTCATCTTGTTATGTATTCCAAGTGATGACGAGGAGATTGGAAGAGCCTATCGACCATATTAGATTCAGCTTGTATTATGTGAGTGGATAAGCTTATTTTTCAGAAATTAGTATTTATTTAATTTATATTAACTCAGAAAATTTAATAATTCATACAGTCGATTTGACGACACGATTTTCAGAATAAAGTTGTTTTTAAAAGTTAAATTCAGTTTAGTAGATCATTTTATTATCATGTTATATGAGTATTAAATATTTCAACATATTTAAAGTTATTTTCTAAAAATCACCAGAAAGCACCCAGGTGATTTTACCTTCGTCTGTACTGGTGTGAATGTGTTTCTACAGTGTATGACGTCATATGGTTATTTTACCCAATCTGCGCTGGTGTGAATGTGTTTCCACAGCGTATGATCAATATAGTGATTTTACCCGCTCTGTACTATTGTGAATGTGTTTTCATAGTGTGTGACCATTTTATAGCTCTGCGCGCGTACGACCAGAATTACAGAATTTCAGAATTACAGGATTACAGAATTACAAAATTTTAGAATTGAATAACCTTGCTATGTTTATTGAGATTAATCGATACACGAATATGGTTATTTCGGGTACATTTACAAAATTTCAGAATTGAATAACCTTGCTATGTTTATCGAGATTAATCGATACAAGAATATGGTTATTTCGGATACATTTTTGGTATGATGTTTCGATATTACATAGCTTATCAGATTTTAGAAATGCAGTATACAGAGTAAAGATGTTTATGATTATAGTATATTTTATTTTTGATAGTATTATCAGATTTTAAGCTATATATTTCAATTTATTCAGTTTAAAGAATAAATATTTTAGTTTATATGTCTGTAAAAAGAAATTTTATGTTATATGTCGGTTTTCAGAAAGATTTTATGATTGGAAAAGTATACTTTTATAAAGTTCAACTTTTACAAATATCCACTCACTGAGTCGCAAGCTCATATTTTTGTCACCTCATTTCTTATCAGATAGAAGCTGCGTTGAGCCATATCGGAGCCTGTCGATCGGCGAGTTGAACTACATCGTGTCATTGTTTGTATGTCTCATCTCGTTAATTCATACAACACATATTTTCTGGGATTGATGTATTTTGTTCAGAAAATGTATTAAGTCACAGGCTCGTTGCATATTTTGTGTATGTTTTGAAATGAAGTTGTTTGGTGGTAAAGAAGGGTAAATTTCTTTTTCAGTAAAACTATTTTGAAGAATTGGTATTTTGAGGGGCTGATGTATCATGTTTTAAACTATATGTACATGTTTAGAATATTTGATTTTATTTTCAGGTAGTTTTAGTCCATTTTTCAGAGGGTATTTTGTCGAAATTTTTATAAAATTATAACAGTCAAAGCATGTCAAGTTTGCCTTGGTGGTAGGTCTGACACTTCGCTGGTATTTACTATCGGTGCATGACACGTGTCGGATCCATTAGGGTGATTCGGACAGGTCGTGTCAAATTGGATACAAAAGGCTGAAGTCCAAACTATGCTTAGATTTTTGGGTCGTCTGGAATCTAAATGGCCCGAATCGGATCCGTTTGACTAGGCTGCCTCAATTTGAGGAAATCGTTGCCAATGGCTGCCCCACCCGGCTACTCTTTCATAAGGGTCTTTGATCAAATCTTTTGTAAAATATATATATATATATATATATATATATATATATATATATATATATATATATATATATAATATATATAAACAAAATTTAAATGGTCGAAAATACCCTCATTTGGAAAGAAGAGGAGGAAAATAGAGAAAAAAAAAGTAGTCTTGATCGATGTCGCCTATGGACGACCCAGACTTGACCCACTTAGATAAAGATCGGACACACCTCGATCAGTCGGAGATCGCTATTTTCTAGAAGGTTAGACATGTTCTCCATAAATAATTACTTTGAATATGTGAAAATTTGAATGTTTAGGATTTGAATATGAGTTAAATTCAATTTTTTATGGTTAAAATGAAAGAAAAAATCGAATTTGAGGTTGAAATGTTGAAAAAAATAAAAAAATAAGATGGAGCTTGTCGAATCCAGTCCATAACGGACCGGGACGATCCGTTACGGACAAGATGGGTCTGTAACGGACCAATGGTCCGGGTCCGGACCCGACAATGGGCTCGAATTTTTTTTATTTTATTTTTTGAATTAAAAAATGTAATTAAATATGAAATAAATAATATATATATTAAGATAATTAACGAAATATTTGAAGATAAATTAAATAGAATTTTAATTTTTTTCTTTTTTACTTAAATATATGTTTAGAAATTAAATATACGTTTCAAATAAATAATCAAAATAGAGTAATTAAATATGAAATAAATAATATACATTTTAAGACAATTAAAGTAATTAATTATGAAAACAATTAATATAATTAATTGAAAAAATTTAAATGAAAAATTAAATAAGTATTATTATTTTTATTCAAATAAATAATCGAAATAGAGTAATTAAATATAAAATAAATAATATATATACTAAGATAATTAACGAAATATTTAAAGAATTTTAAATTGAATAATATTTTTTTACTTAATCAATTAATTTAATTAATTAAATAAGTACTTAAATGAAACATTGAATTACATATTATTATTTGTATTCAAATAAATGTTCGAAATAGAGTAATCAAATATGAAATAAATAATATACATTTTAAGATAATTAAAATAATTAATTATGGAAACAATTAATATAATTAATTAAAGAAATACTTAAATGAAAAATTGAATTAAATATTATTATTTTTATTCAAATAAATAATCGAAATAGAGTAATTAAATATAAAATAAATAATATATGTAATTAACGAAATATGTAAAGAATAAATTAAATTGATTAATAAACTTTTTACTTAACCAATTAAGATAATTAATTAAAGAAATAGTTAAATAAGAAATTGAATTAAATATTATTATTTTTATTCAAATAAATAATCGAAATTGAGTAATTAAATATGAAATAAATAATATGTATATTCAGATAACTAACGAAATATAATTTTTAAAGAAATATTAAATAATCAAATATGTGGGAATTTTTTTGTTTAACTGTTTTAATATGTGATTGGATGAATCTATTTATTGCTTTATTAATATGAAATCTGATTGATTAAATTTGAAGATACGATATTTTATTTATAATCTCTTGTATATGGTTTTAACATGTATTATTTTTGTATGATGGAATATCATATGAACAAGGATCTGAGAGCTCATTTGGGAAAAGTTACGACATATTGTAACTTTTTCAGCTATGCGACAGTGATTGAGGGGTTGGGCGAGGAGCACATCGACATACTCCATCGATCGTTTTTATGGTCTTTCTATCCGTTGATAGACAAGTAGTTCTCTAGGCAGATTTTTGATTTCTTATTACTCCAACTGCTTAAATTAGTCGATGGCGATCAGCTTTATTTTGCTATGGGGGACGGGAAGGTATCAAGATTCTCGATCCTTGAATTTGCTCTCATTACAGGCTTGAGATGTGTTGGAGAAGAAGAAGCGAGAGCTCGTATTATACTAAATAAAAGGTTATTGGATTTATATTTTGGAAGTAAAGGGTCGGTTACACCATCACAGTTAGAGAACGCATTTAGGAGATGCGATCACATGGTAGACAAGCTGAAGTTAGGATTGGTGTATATATTGGAGAGTATATTGAGGTGTTGACATCGTAGGACGTCGATTGACCTTTTTTCATTGGATGTTGTTGATGATATCGATACTTTCAACAGCTTTTCATGGGGTTGGAGATGTTGCACCGATACTCTTCACGTATTCAGGAAGGTACATACTGTGCCGAAATCGGAGAGGGGCGAGTGAAATATGATGTATATAGCTTTTGCATGGCTTTGCAGGTAATTATTCAGCTTAACGTAATGCGTGTTAAATTTTTTTTTATTAAATGTATAACTAACTTTTTTTTTCTTTTTTCTTTTTTTTTTTTGCAGTTGTGGGCATATGAGGCTTTCTCTGCATTGAGTAGCAAAAGGGCGATCAGAAGGGAGGCCAGCTGCCCACGAATGCTTCATTGGCGAGCACATGAGAAGCCATTGGCTAAAGATTTGACAGCTATCCTCGACGATTCTCAGGTGAGTATTATATATTTACAATTTATATTGTACGTCGGCTCGATACATGCTCGTTAACATGTTGAAATATGATATGTCAGCTCGAAGTTCATGCTGAGTTGGTTGTTTCGATAGAAGAGGAGGATCAAATATATGTACGTGAATTACATGTTTCACCTACTGAAAACGATCCAGTGTTTGAATCCGTTCCGAATAGAAATAGGGTACGTTTATTTAAGATCATTATTTATTCTGATTTATAATATTCATGTGTGGATTTTATGATTTTGCAACTCTTTTTTTGTATTTTTCGAAACTTTTTTTCATTTTTCAGAGATAGCTATACCATCGACTGTATGACCGTGCCCAATGCTAAAAAGTGGTTCGAAAATGTACTGACGACCTCAGCTTGGCTCGTCAATAATGTAAGTTTTTTGAGTTTTCATTTATTATGTTTATAGAAGTTGTTGGTTCATTTACTTAAACGACTATCTTTTTGGTTGGTGTTTTTTTGTTTCAGCATATCGACTTGGTTATGGAATTGTTATGTGATCGGGCTCGAAGATACCCGAGATCTTATAACAGTCTTAGTCAAGTTATCACGATCTCCTAAGCAAGGGAAATGAATTTGTTCTGTCTAAGTACATGCTGGAGTGGGTGATTGGGCTACAGCTGAGGTGGGAAAAGTCGTGGATGGATTGTACACATATGTACATTCCAGTGATCGCGAACTCATACTGTTTTTCAGTGGAGATCATATTTGCTATGATGGCTAGTCATGCGATGATTCGAGTAAATGACGATGGCAAGACAAGAAAGATCGTAAGGATTTAAAACTTTTTAATTTTAAGATTTAATTTTTAGTTATATGTTATCGAATTAATATATTCTTCTTCGGTTGCAGGGGCAACTATGGCTTATTTGCAATAAAGTACATAGAGTTTTTGAGCATTGTTCGTAATGTTGATACAATAAATCAGTCTTGGATTGATATGTGGAGGCATAAATTAGCTTGCCTTGTATGAATATAACTGTGATCCTTAGTGCATTGTATATTATTTTATTAAAATGTGAATGTTGTTTACTTCAGTATGATTCATGTTATAATATAATATTTTTTTTAAATATTTAATTAGAGAAATACTTAAATGAAAATTCAAAATAAGTGCTATTATTCTTATTCAAATAAATAATTGAAAAAAGTAATTAAATATGAAATAATTAATATACGTGCTAAGATAATTAACAAAATATTATTATTTTAATTTACATAAGTAATCGAAATATTGCAATCAAATATTAAATAAATAATATACACATTAAGATAATTAACGAAATATAATTTTTAAAGGAATATAAATAATCAAATATAGGTGCCAAATGAAAATAATTAATGAAAGAAATACTTAAATAAATACTATTATTTTTATTCAAATAAATAATCGAAATAAGTAAATAAATATGAAATAATTAATATACGTACTAAAATAATTAACAAAATATTATTATTTTAATTTACATTGTTGTTATGTCTGTAATTTCTCCATATTGTCAGTTAATATATATCGTTGTCTCATTTGTATTAAAAGAAAAAAACAAAATATTATGATTTTAATTTACATAAGTAATCGAAATAAAGCAATCAAATATTAAATAAATAATATACACATTAAGATAATTAACGAAATATAATTTTTAAAGGAATATAAATAATCAAATATACGTGGCGAATGAAGATAATTAATGAAGAAATACTTAAATGAAAACTCGAAGTAAGTGCTATTATTTTTATTCAAATAAATAATCCAAATAAATAATTAAATATGAAATAATTAATTTTTACTTAACCAATTAATATAATTAATTAAAGAAATATTTAACCAATTATACATAACCAATTAAATATTTAACTCCTACAATATATCAATTATTAAATTACAATATTTAAATCAATCCTATTTTTTATATTCAAATATGCTGTTAAAAAGAGTAATTAAACAATGTGATAAAAATTACATCCGATTTAAATTGAGAAAATAAAAAACATATTACAAGTAGAGAATACATATGATTTATATAGATACTACATATCCGTCGTGTCATTGTTTAGTGAGATCTGACTTGTACAAAATCGACGTGTATGTCCTGTAGCGCCGCACCTCTCGCACTTACGCAGTTGTGAAAACTCTTCTATAGATGGTATTCTAGACGTCCGTCTAAGACCAGGAGTACGAGGTGGAACTTCAGGTGGCAACAAATTATTAAGTGCTACAATATAATCAAGAACTTCTCACTCGACTTCATTTAGTAGAGGAAATATAGTTTCGGCATACGCTGCTTTCCAAAAATCAGCCATGTAATAATAACTGCGTAAGCTGTGTGGTGGAAATCCTTTATACATTGCCACTGCGACAGAATGCGCACATGGAAAACTTTCCAACTGAAATTGTCTACACGTGCAGGTATTGTCATTCAAGTCTATAATGTATCCAACGTTACGCCCATATCTCACAGAGAAGCGAAATTGATCTAGTGGTTCCACAAATAGAGCTTTTACCACTTCCAGAGTTTTGAATAGTCGATCTTCCTGAGCCGGAGTTAGCACACTCGTACAATTCTGGGATTTCTTACGTCGGTCATAAAACCACTGTTGCAACTTGCTACAAATATGTTCAATCATTGCGAGAATTGGTAACTCTCTATCCTTCTTAAATAATGCATTGAGCGACTCCGCATTATTCGACGTCATCATGTTGTATCGACATCCTGAAAAATGTGATCGTGCCCAATGTTCGACCCCATATCTGATAAATATTCCCATGCGCTTTCTAATCTATGTTCTATTTCGTCCCTGAACTTCGTAAACTCTTCAAAGCTGTAAGTTTCTGCAGCTCTCCTAAACAATGCAATGATGCCACTGCCCCGATACATAGTCTTCAGGTTGCTCTGAATGTGGTACATGCAATAATCATGATGTGCTTCCGAAAAAACTTCGACTATACCATTTATTATTGACTGCCCCTGGTCAGTCACAAATGCAAGGTTCTCGATGTCCCCAATTACTTCTCTCAACTTCGTGAAGAATCAGCGCATTGCTAGATCAGTCTCTCCATCAACAATGCCAAATGCAAGAGGGTAAATTTGAATGTTGCCATTTTGACATGTAGCAATAATCAACTTCATTTAATAGTCGGCCCAAACGTAAACAATGAGCACACTGTTCTTTTTCATTTTTACATTTCATTAATAATTTAATTTTCCAATTCTAAATAAACTTTTTATTAAATTTTTTTTTCGCTTTCGTCTTGTTTAATTTATTTTTTTATTCTTTAGATATACTTTACGTTGTTTTTTTTTTTTGTTAATATCTTAAATTAAGAAATATTAATTCAATTTTTAAAATTAAAAGAATTTTTTGAAATTGAAAATTAACAAATTAAACAATTTAGTTTAACCTTTTTTTTTTACTTTTTTTTTGTATGCTTAAAATTCATTTCAATTAAAAATTATTTTTAAACAATTCCATACCAATTAGAGCAACTAAAAACTAATAAAATATTCAGGTGGTAATTATTACGGATGACAATTCTTCGCACAATCAATTTCAAAATCTTGTTGCAAAAAGTCTTTGTAATAAAAAAGTCTTGTACCATATGGGTAGCAATTCTTTGTACAATCAATTTCAAAATCTTGTAGAAAACAATTTTTGTAATAAAAAGTCTTGTACCAAAATTTTGAAAAAGTCTACATGTCGATTTCAAGAAAAAGTCTTTAAAAAATTTACACACATTTTGAATACTAAATTTTTTTAACAATAAATAATTTTTAGACTTTTTTTTCTTATCAATAAATTTGGCAATAAAAAATCAACTATACTAACTACCAATTTCGAGAAAGTCTACAATTAATTAACTTTTGAAGATAAGGTCTTTCAAAAGATTTTTAATACATTTGAAAAGTTTGAAAAAAATTCTACACCAATTTATGGTATCGTTTGGCCTCCATTCTTGTCAAATTTTAATGGTTGGAATATTGTTTTTTGAAAAATGTGTGGTTGAAAATGAATGAAAAGTTTTTGATTTACGTATAATATTATTTTATGGAAGATTGTGTGGTTGAAAATAAGTGAGAAAAAGAATGCGAATGAGAGTGGAAGCCAAACAGGGGCTATATTATCTTTGTTACTAGAGTTCAATTGCTAAAAATGTCTAATTAGTTCTATTAGAATTTCTTTTATTATTTTCTCTTATAATATTTGTTCGTTGTCATCTTTCTTTACAATTTTTATGATCTTTTATTAAGAAACTCCGACACACCGAGATAGAGAGCTCAATGATTTGCTTTTTGATATGTAAAGAGGAGTGACATCTATTTCTATTTAGTGCAGATGAAATATGGCTTCCTATGACTACTAATCTTCATATTTTTCTATTTTCTAAACAAGTATTAATATATTCGTTAAAATTTTCTAATGAACAAGTAAGTAAGGCAATGTAATCTAAAGGCATAAAATATTTGAACTTTAAAACGATATGTTTGTAATGACTTTAGATTACTTTACTGTTCAACAAATTAATTTTTTCAGACTTTTTTTTACCCAGTCTTACAGTTTGGTATGATAGATACTAACTAAACTTAAATAGATTCTTGATTAGTTAAAAGACCATCCATTAATGATTCAATTCATTTATATACCCTTTCGTGTAAATAATGACATTGTAATTCTAGCTTATCATCGTCTTTTAATTTATGAAGTAGTTAAAAAATTTAGACCCCCTTTGAGAATAAATATTAAAATAAAAATTAGACAGATTAATGATTAAAGAAGAATATCAGAAACCGCAGCTATGATGGAAGCTTAAAATAATGATTTTAGATTAGTAGCACAATGTAATAAAAGAGTTATTTTCTGTTAAGAGCACCTTGTCATGAGAATTAAAGCAGAAAAAATTCAAGTACCAAATGTTGAACAAAAGGATTTATATCTAATGGTGTTTCAAGAGATTAATGAAGAATTTATAGAAACCCAATCAGATACAGAAGAAGAAGCATACATATCTAATGGCAATGATAATGAGACGGATCCAGAAATAGAAGAAGCCATAGCAAAAATGATGTACATATAAGATTAATAATTAGAAAAGAAGAGATAGACAAGGAAATAATTATTAAGACAAGGAAGTCAAAAAGAAAAAGGGTAAAGATAAAGCTTTTTGAACAAATTTCAAACATATGTAAAGTTGATTCTCAGATTTCAAGCAAAGTCAGGCATGAAGACAAAGTTGTCATAAGCATCTCTTCAAAAATTCATTCTTTAATCACTCATATGGAGAATTGTACATTATTCTTTAATTTAGATCACATACCTGTAAAGTTTGCACACTATTATTCAATTATTGATAGCACACTTACAATACTAACAGAGTAGACGTGGTGTACTAACGTCTATAAATACCTACAGCTCTCACGAAAGGAAACACATCGAAAAAGCACAAAACACACTATCGCAATTGTACCAAAAAATCTCCACCATCTTTGTAAATTTAAAGACTTGGGAATTAAAATAAGTTCTTTTCATATATTCTCTTGTTTATGATTTTCGTTTACTTTAATTATTTTTCGAATAAGGCCTAAAAGAGGAAATACCAAGTAAGTAATTAATTTATTCACAAATAATATTTTATTTCTGTTTTAAAATATAATTTTAATGCTATTAACCACTTTATTCTGGATCCAATGGTCAAAAGATAAAGTAATCCTCCGAATTAAGTTGACTAATTTGTATCCCAATAGTGGGAGTTTGTTAAAGTCTTTTTAAACATAATGATTTTTTTTTTGCTACAGTCTTAAGCTTTCTTTAAAATGTCAAGAAAAAAGCTAAAAGATTGTTAAAAAAGAGTTAAAAAAATAGAAGTTTCAAAAATTTAATTTGCTGAACGGTAAAGTACTGAAAGGTCATTACAAATATATCGTTTTATAGTTCAAATATTTTATGCCTTTAAATTATACTACCTTACTTGTTCACAAGAAAATTTTAACGAATATATTAATACTTGTTTAGAAAATAGAGAAATAGGGAGATTAGTCATTATAGGAAGTCATACTTTATTCGCTCTAGATAAAAATAGAGGGGGCTTCTCTTTACAGATCAAGAAGCAAATCACTAAACTGTCTATCTCTCAGTATCAGTTTATTGATAGAAGATTCTAAAAATCGTAAAAAAAGACAATGAGCAAAGATTATAACAAAAACAATAAAAAAAATTCGGTAGAACTAGTTAGACATTTTTAGCAATTAAACTCTAGTAGCAAAGATAATATAAATTTGTATAGAATTTTTCTCAAACTTTTCAAATGTATTAAAAATCTTTTGAAAGACATTGTCTTAAAAAATTATGCTCGTAGACTTTCTTGAAATTGGTAGTTAGTATAGAAGACTTTTATTGCCAAATTTATTGATAGGAAGAAAAGTCTAAAAAATATTTATTGCTAGAAAAAATTTAGTATTCAAAACGTGTGTAAATTTTTGAAAGACTTTCTTGAAATTGACACGTAAACTTTTTGAAAATTTTGGCACAAGACTTTATTACAAAGACTTTTTGCTATGAAATTGATTGTACAAAGAATTGTCACATGTATGGTACAGTACTTTTTGCTACAAGATTTTGAAATTGATTGTACAAAGAATTGTCAGCCGTATTAATCGTCACCCGAATATTTTATTAGTTTTTAGTAGTTCTATTCGGTATCTGCATAGAAAATTTTTACTTGTCATTTTCAAAATTTTGTTACGAATTAGAATTGGCATTAGAGCCTAGAATAATAAAAAATTATATAGTTTATAAAAAAAATTGAGTAATTAAATTTAGAAATCTTAGGAATCTATAAAAGAAACGATAGCTTAGAAGCAGCTTCTCTAATATGTAATTTTGTTAATAAGTTTAGACTTACTTTTACGTAGTGAAAACAAACAGTTAAATAGTATTGTAGACTTACTTTTAAATTTAGGAGAAAATTTAGAAATGAACAATTTAAATAAAAGAGTAGAAACTTTATTAGAAAATAAAAATATAAATATAAAGATTTTAGAAATTAATCAAGAATATATTAAATACCGAAATACTAAAATGAAAATCTAATAATATAGAAGAAAAAGAACCTAGTCATAACTTAGAAAAATTGGAGAGCATAGTTAAAACATTAGAAAAAGAAAAGTCGACAGATAATGGACGGGATTTAGATAACATAATAAATAAACTAGAAAAATTAGATTTTGGTAAAATTAAAGAACTTGGTAGATTTAAGAAAACTTAGCGGATCTATACATAATGGATAAAGGAAAACAAATCGTAGCTAGTAATAGTAAATTAGTAGGTAAATCTTTATTAAAAATATTAAGTAGAAAAACAGAACCCGAAACAAGACGAAAATCTCTAAGAGATATAAAATAACAAATAGAAATATTTAGACAGAATAATAGATTTTGTATTATGTTTATTATGCTTGTTCATTCGTTTGGCTTTTGTTTTTGGCATTGCAGTTATTCTTTTTTGAGAGTTTGCTTTTTTTATTTTTGCATTATGTTGAAGTTAGACATATTCTTTTAATTATATTCTTTCATTAACGTAATAGAAAATATCAATTTGATCTATAATTTGTTATAAATGTATAAAATTTATTTAATATTGAATTTCTTAAGTACTAAATGTTGTAATTCAATATTATCTTCTTTTTATATAATTGTATATTTCTT